AGGAAGATCGATTATGTACGTGTTGTGGGAGATTTGATCGTGTCCTCTGTAGGCCTTGGAGGCCTCCAGAGGCCTCAGGCGACCTCCAGAGGCGTCTTGCGACATTCAGGGCCACTTCGGTGTCGGGGAAGGCTGCAGGTTTCTGAGGTCCCCTGATGTTAGTTGTCTTCGGTGAGCCGTCCTTGAGAGTCTGGCGCAGCTGAAGTCTAAGCGGGCTTCGTTACTGATCTACGCGCGGTCCGCTGTGGCGGCACGCTGCCTGGTTTGTGGCAGTCCGTTCACTTTGACAGCTGCTTTTGAGGAGCCTCGGGCAGGGCCGCGGTGTTGTCTGTGGCGCCCGTTTCAACAAGGGAGGCCAGCGAGTACGTTGGCCGCCCGCAGCCTTTAGTCTTTGGCGCCCAGGGGTTGCCCCCGAAGACTCAGAGTCGTTGTTGTTGGCTCGGCGGCGGGGCGCCGGAGCGGGCGACCGGCGCTCCAACGGCGAGAGGAGCCGAGCCTCGCGACGTGGTGTGGAGCGGGGCGAGGACGCGGTTTGCATGACGGGTGGAGTGCCATCGAAGGTTTGCACCGTATCTCTGTTTTTGTTTTCATGTGAGGGCTTTTCCAACAGATTTGGATGGGTGGGCACGGACGCGGAGTATGGAGGCCGAGTTCTAATGGTATTGTTGTTTCCGTCGGTTTCCCCAAGGTGAAAGAGAAGCTGTACCTGCACCGCCGCGCGATGCTGGAGCACGAGACACATCAGTGGCCCGCACAGGAGGAATTGAGGATCCGTAAGAAGATAGGGAGGAGGAGAGGAGGTAGGAAGCATAGTAGGATCCGGATGAGCAACAAGCGTTGTAGGAGGAGGATGAGGGGGAGGAACAGGAGTAGCGGAAGAGATGGAGGATGAGGAGGATGAGCCGATAAAGGACGAGGGGGGCCATGAAGAGGATGACCAACAGGAGGAGGAGGAGGAGGAGGAGGAGGAGGAGGGCGCCGCTTCAGGTTGAAGTCCTGGTCAGATTCAAGCCCTTCAGGTTGAAACCCCGGTCTCCATCCTCCCCTCTCCCCGTGCAACTGGTGCTGCTCCTCTTCCTCCACTGCCTCTCAGCCGTATCTTCCCTTTCCCCTCCCTCATCAGTTTCCGCTCCATATTTCCTCACTGCCTCCTGTTCCTCCTATCCATTTCCCCCTCCCTCCGTTCTCCGCTTCATCCTCTTCTTCTCTCCTTCTCTCTCCTTCTCGCACTTGCTCATCCCCCCCCCTCCTTATCATTTCCCCCCCTCCCCAACACCCTCCTGCTCCTTCCGCCCCCCTCCCCCCATCCCCCCATCCACCTCCTGCCTGCCCATCTCCAGCCTATCATTTTGCCCTCATTCCCTCTATCCCCCCTCTTCCGAGCAGCAGGATGCCCAGGATGACCCATACTTGTTCGCCCCCAAACACCCCCACCCCCTGGGCCGAAGTTGAGAAGCGATCTGAGTAGTCTCTCTCTCTCTCTCTATCTCTTTCTCCCTTTCTCTCTTTATCACTCTCGTGTTTTTGGTGTCGATATATATATATATAGATGTACAGGAGTGGACTAATCATCATTATTTATTGTTTTTTCCTTTTCTCTCTCTGTCTATCTATGTACCCATCGGTGCTTGCACTTGGGGCTTCTTACTTCGTTGTCTAAGGGTGCCGAGCCAGGGTGCTGGTATGGCGTGTCCTTGGTCGCCGTCGCGTCGCCGCCCCGTTGCCGCCTCGTCGCCGCCCGTTATGTGGGCCTGGGTGTTGGTCTGGCGGCTCCGTGGTCGCCATCGCCGCCCCGTCGCCGCCTCGTCGCCGCCTGTCGTCTGGGCCTGGGTGTCGGTATGGCGGCTCCTTGGTCGCCATCGCCGCCCCGTCGCCGTCTCGTCGCCGCCCGTCGTCTGGGCCTTGGGCCTGGGTGTCGGTCTGGCGGCTCCGTGGTCGCCATCGCCGCCCCGTTGCCGCCTCGTCGCTGCCCGTCGTCTGGGTCTGGGTGTCGGTCTGGCGGCTCCGTGGTCGCCGTCGCCGCCCCGTCGTCGTTCAGCTTCCTCCACGCAGATTGCACCACTCCACCACAGATTGCACCACATAGATTGCACAACCTAGATTGCTCATATAGATCGTTTGAGGGAGTTTCTGTGGAACTCACGTCATCCTCACCCCCGGCGCGAAGAGCACGAGCCCAGAGCGGCCTCCGGCACCGTTTCCGGACGGATCCGCTGGATCCGCTGGATCCGCTGGATCCGGTGACGAATCCCAAACCGGCGCCCTCGCCTGAGACATCCTCACAAAACGGGCCCCGGGGGGGATGCCCAGAGGAGCCCAGAGCGGCCTCCGGCACCGTTTCCGGACGGATCCGCTGGATCCGCTGGATCCGGTGACGAATCCCAAACCGGCGCCCTCGCCTGAGACATCCTCACAAAACGGGCCCCGGGGGGGATGCCCAGAGGAGCCCAGAGCGGCCTCCGGCACCGTTTCCGGATCCGCTGGATCCGCTGGATCCGCTGGATCCGGTGACGAATCCCAAACCGGCGCCCTCGCCTGAGACATCCTCACAAAACGGGCCCCGGGGGGGATGCCCAGAGGAGCCCAGAGCGGCCTCCGGCACCGTTTCCGGACGGATCCGGATCCGCTGGATCCGCTGGATCCGGTGACGAATCCCAAACCGGCGCCCTCGCCTGAGACATCCTCACAAAACGGGCCCCGGGGGGGATGCCCAGAGGAGCCCAGAGCGGCCTCCGGCACCGTTTCCGGACGGATCCGCTGGATCCGCTGGATCCGCTGGATCCGGTGACGAATCCCAAACCGGCGCCCTCGCCTGAGACATCCTCACAAAACGGGCCCCGGGGGGGATGCCCAGAGGAGCCCAGAGCGGCCTCCGGCACCGTTTCCGGACGGATCCGCTGGATCCGCTGGATCCGCTGGATCCGGTGACGAATCCCAAACCGGCGCCCTCGCCTGAGACATCCTCACAAAACGGGCCCCGGGGGGGATGCCCAGAGGAGCCCAGAGCGGCCTCCGGCACCGTTTCCGGACGGATCCGCTGGATCCGCTGGATCCGGTGACGAATCCCAAACCGGCGCCCTCGCCTGAGACATCCTCACAAAACGGGCCCCGGGGGGGATGCCCAGAGGAGCCCAGAGCGGCCTCCGGCACCGTTTCCGGACGGATCCGCTGGATCCGCTGGATCCGGTGACGAATCCCAAACCGGCGCCCTCGCCTGAGACATCCTCACAAAACGGGCCCCGGGGGGGATGCCCAGAGGAGCCCAGAGCGGCCTCCGGCACCGTTTCCGGACGGATCCGCTGGATCCGCTGGATCCGGTGACGAATCCCAAACCGGCGCCCTCGCCTGAGACATCCTCACAAAACGGGCCCCGGGGGGGATGCCCAGAGGAGCCCAGAGCGGCCTCCGGCACCGTTTCCGGACGGATCCGCTGGATCCGCTGGATCCGCTGGATCCGGTGACGAATCCCAAACCGGCGCCCTCGCCTGAGACATCCTCACAAAACGGGCCCCGGGGGGGATGCCCAGAGGAGCCCAGAGCGGCCTCCGGCACCGTTTCCGGACGGATCCGCTGGATCCGCTGGATCCGGTGACGAATCCCAAACCGGCGCCCTCGCCTGAGACATCCTCACAAAACGGGCCCCGGGGGGGATGCCCAGAGGAGCCCAGAGCGGCCTCCGGCACCGTTTCCGGACGGATCCGCTGGATCCGCTGGATCCGGTGACGAATCCCAAACCGGCGCCCTCGCCTGAGACATCCTCACAAAACGGGCCCCGGGGGGGATGCCCAGAGGAGCCCAGAGCGGCCTCCGGCACCGTTTCCGGACGGATCCGCTGGATCCGCTGGATCCGGTGACGAATCCCAAACCGGCGCCCTCGCCTGAGACATCCTCACAAAACGGGCCCCGGGGGGGATGCCCAGAGGAGCCCAGAGCGGCCTCCGGCACCGTTTCCGGACGGACGACCTGACTGCATAACACGCCTGGATATGCCGACGGGGGCGAAGGAGGAGGAGGAGGAGGAGGAGGAGGAGGAGGAGGAGGAGGAGGAGGAGGAGGAGGAGGAGGAGGGGGAGGGGGAGGGGGCAGGCGAGGGAGCCCCGGCCCTGGGGGAGGGGCCCTGAGGGAGCCCTGATGGGCTTCCGGCACCATGGAGAGGTCCTGTGGGGCGGCCGCCCCTTCTTCTCTCGGTCGTTTCCCTCTCGCCCAGAAGCGCGCGCCCCTTCTTCTATATATACAGAAACTCCCGATCAACCGCAGAGCGGCGGATGTTCATATGTTGAATAACATCTATTGCACAACACAGGCTGCACCACGCAGATCACACCACATATATAGTTCCGCATTGGTTGTGCACTATATACTGTTCGAAACACACACATATACACGGTTTGAGGGCCCACGCTTGCTAGCGTACACCTACACCTACATCTGAACATATACATCTATTTGTGTACAGATATGTGTATATATGTATATACATATGTATATGTATAACCTTATATCTATACACAAGTATCTCCCGCGCGCGACGCCTGGTCCGTCCCGCGCGCGTCTCGCTATCGTTCGACCTGTGCTACGCCGCGCCGCTACGCTCGTGTCCGCGACGCCAAAAAGTATGTATCGAAGGCGCCCACGGGGTATCACAGCTGCCTCCTGCCATTTTGGAAGCGCCTGTGCGGCCGACGGTTGAGGTCAGAGCTGGAACACGCTATGGCGGACAGTGTGTTCCCCCAGCCGTTGTGGAACCTGTCGGATCACACAGTGGAGAGGAGAGAAGAAATGGCGAAGAGGGAGGAGGAGGAGGAGGAGGAGGAGGAGGAGGAGGAGGAGGAGGAGGAGGAGGAGGAGGAGGAGGAGAAGGAAGCCTCTTGGAAGCTTCTTTGGGGCTCTCTTGGGGCCTCCTGGGGGCTTCTGTTGGGCCTCTTGGGGGCTTCCCTGGGCTTCTCGGGGGCATTGGGAGGCTTCTTGGGAGGCCCTTTGGCTGTCTGAAGGTTCTCCTGGCCCGTCAGACGCGGTCGGAAGCCGTCTCGGGGGCCTCTTTGGGCCGACATGGGGCCCTCTCGGGGCGTTTCAGGGCCGTCTTGGAGGCCATCTTGGGCGTTCCGAAGGTCTCCTTAGCCGTCGTGGGGCCTTTGGGTGGCCGTTTTGGGGACTTCTTGGATTGTCAGGGGGCCATCTCGGAGGCCTTGTGCGCCCTTGGGGCTACACTGGTGGTTTCTGGGGCCGCCTGGGACCGCCGGAAAGCCGGAAATGAGCAAACGCCAGAGCCCTTTCAATATCACCGAAAGAACAACTTGGCCAGCGTGAGCCCCAAACAGTTGTTTTGCAGCGTGTGAGGTGTAGTCTAGGCGGTGCCATCTACATCGTCTCATCCAGGTGGTGCAATCCATGTGGTGCTGACTATGTGGCGCAAGGCATCGCAATGCAGAGCGGGCGGCGACGAGGCCGCGGGCGGCGACGAGGCGGCGACGGTGGCCACATGGCGGCCAGAGCGGCACCCGGGCCCAGGCCACGGGCGGCGACGAGGCGGCGACGGGGCGGCATCGGCGACCATATAGCTGCTATACCGACGGGCAGGCCCAGTTGACGAGAGGAGAAGGAACTCCTGAATGCAAGCGCTGTTTGAGAAATCGATGTGTTGGGCCTCCTCGGGCCTCGAATTCCCGGAGGTTTCCTTGGAGGCTTCTTGGGCCGTCTTAGGGGCCTCTTACTCCATCTTGGGGGCATCTCGGCCCGTGTTGGATACCTCTATAGTATATATACGTTTATACATATATATATATATATGGGCACGTATGATAAATATCTATACATCGTACGTAAATATATATACATACACATATATACATATACATACAAATAACTGTGTGTATAAAATAGAACAGATAGATCGATACGTAGTCAAATATACGCAGTCATATATACGCAGTGATAAATACACATATATATATATAGACATGTCTGTGCAGTCATATATACATACAGCCACGGCACCGACGTCGCGCCGGCGGCCCGGCTACCGCAGGCTCGCGCAGGAGGCGGAGGCCATGCGCCGCACGGCGGCGACCCTCGGGGCCCTCGGCGAGGACGCCCCTCGGCTGCCACGGGCCGCCGTCGTCGCCCGTCGCTGCCGTTGTCGTCGCCACCTTCGTCGCCGTCGCTGTCGTCGTCGCCGTAGGAGGAGGAGGAGGAGGAGGAGGAGGAGGAGGAGGAGGAGAAGGAAATAGGAGGAGGACGAGGAGGAGGAGGAGGAGGAGGAGGAGGAGGAGGAGGAGGAGGAGGAGGAGGAGGAGGGGGAGGAGCGTCGCCACCGACGTGGCCATCCTCGTTTTCCTCGTCCACGTCGTCGCCGCCGTCGTCGGCTGTCGAGGTCGCCTCCTGCCGTCGCCGTCTACGCCAACACCATTATCGTCGCGGCCGCCTTTGTCACCGTCGTTGTCGTCGCCATTGTCTTCGTCCTTCGACATGCTGTCGCGCCCGCGCAGCACGTGAATCGTCGTAGTCGTCGCCGCTGCCGATGTCGCGCCGCCGTCGTTGCGCCGCCGTCTCCTTCGTCGCCGCTGACGACGGTGGCTTTCAGCCTTCGGGGGCCATCCTCGCCGCCGCTCCTGGATGCGGCTCGGACAACTGGGCAGGATGGATGTTTGGAAGGGTCCAAGAGGAATCCAGGGGTCGGTTTTGAGCGGATTTTGGTATGGGGCAGTTCTCTTCGTTGTCGTCGCCAACGTTGTCACCGCCGTCGGCGACGACGACGAGGATGCAGGATCGAGACTCCTGTGCGCACGTATCCTTCTCTGGGCCCCCCAGAGACTCCCAGAGGCTTCCGTGAGGCATCTGGACGCCACCGGGACATCCAGAGGCCCCAGGGGTTGGGATTCGCGAGACGGGGGTCCATGCAAACGGGGGTCAGCCAGAGCGCCTGATCTTGCAGGGTCCTGCAGCCTGCAGGGGTGCACTGACCCGGGCTCGCAGGCACCATCTTGCAGGATCCCGCAGGATTCTTGCAGGGTCCTGCACCGCCTGACGGACCCGGATTTGCATTGACCAGGGAACAGTAGATCCCCGAAGGGGCGAAGAGTCGCGAGGTGAGGAAGGTGTTGCTGCTGTTGATGAGGATGAGGATGAGGATGAGGATGAGGATGGGGATGAGGATGAGGATGAGGATGAGGAACAATATGATGATATGATGATGAGGATGAGGATCATGATGATGATGATGATGATGATGATGATGATGATGATGATGATGATGATGATGATGATGATGATGATGATGATGATGATGATGATGATGATGATGATGATGATGATGCTGATGCTGCTGATGATGATGATGATGATGATGATGAGGAGGATGAGGAGGATGAGGATGTGGATGAGGATGACGATGTGGATGAGGATGAAGATGATGAGGAGGATGATGATGAGGATGAGGACGAGGATGAGGATGAGGATAACCATGAGAATGACCATGAGGATGAGGATGAGGATGTCGCCGTCTCGTCGGTGTCGTCGCCGTCACCATCGTCTGTGTCGTCGCCGTCTTCGTCGTCGCCTCCCGTGGCCTTCGGGGGGCCCCGGCGGCCGCGGCCGGCCTTCTTGGGCTCATCGGCGGCCCCTCGGCGGCCTTGGGAGGTCGTCGGAGGCCCTCGGTGGCGCTCCTATCAGGAGGGGAAAACCTAAACACACAGGCACAACGAATCGTCGATTCCCAGGAAAATATAGGAAAACATGGGAAGTGGGGGGGAAGACGAACACCCCCGAAAGTGTTGGAAAATGGGGGGGAATCCTGTCACTTGTGTCTATTTATTTGTGTGTCCCTGGGCCCCTTCATCCTAGCCCGAGGCCGCCATCACCCTCGTGGTAGGGAAGTAATTCTGGGGAGCTGGGGGCGGCTGCCGAGGAGCCCGCTCACGCGGTTCCCACTTTTTGCGCACGTGCGCGTGGTCGTGCGCATTTTTAGGCCGCTTCCGCTGCCTCGTTTTCGCCACCGTTGTGGCCCCCCTTTCTGCGTGCTGCCTGCGCTTGGCCTGCACTCTCACGACCTCTCTGACGGCGCGCAGCTGCCTGCGCCGCTCGCGGTCAAAAAAGTGGTCGTGCGCACGTCTTGCCGACCGCGGCCGAGGTCCGCCCCGAAAGCTGCCAAGGGGCGCTCTGAGGCCGAGCGGGGGAACCTCCCCTGGCCCAAGGAGTCCAGCAAAATATATAAAACAAGAGAGAAAACCAAATCAATGCACTGATTTGGTTTTCTGTATGGTTTACGCGGAATTGCGCTGAATCATCTGCGCAGCGAAAACCATCCATGGATGGTTTTCGCTCAGGAAATCGACCGGGAAACTGGGAGTCTGGGGACCCAGAACCTACCGATATCGGCCCGGAACCAATACTCGGGAACCGGGGAGCCTGGAACCGGGAACCCGGAACCGGGAACCCGGGAACCCAGCGTGCGACCAAAATCGGCGGGACACTTGCGTAAAAAAAATCATTTTCCGCGAGCATCCCTTCAGTGCAAGCACTGATTGGAGAATTATGGCTATTTCATCACTATGTGGAAGCGAAGATCTTGTCACACGCACGGAGCGTGCTGATGAGAGGGAGCTCCCACAGATACTTGACTCTTTCAATGTCGCTCGGGAAGTCTAGCAGCCCGACACCATCAAACCACACACCAGTCGGGTCCGTTGTAACAGCCGTATTGCCCTCCGTGAGGGCTGCTATACATATACAAGACATATGTGGTCACACATCTATAGTCGATGTATGCATGTATGCAGGTATGCATGCAAGAATGTATATGTGAACATTTGCATGTATGCATGTGTGCATGGATGGATGGATGTATGCATACATGCATGTATGTATGTATGTTTGTGTATACACGTATGCATGCATGTATGTAAAAATGTAGGTTTGTATGTATGTGTGTATGCACGTGTGTATAGGTGTACCCATGTATGGTAAGATTGGGGTATGTGTATTTGTCTGAGCATACGTATGATTGCAATAATACAAGTATGCGTGTGTGCATGTATGTGTTGATGGATGGAGTGATGTATTGATGTATGCATGTATGCACGCTTGTGTGTGTGTTCGCCAGCTTAGACCCCACGCAGCGACCGAGTGCATTTGGGATGTGGATGCCAGGATGTGCCAGCCCTATGGTGCAACGCGTTGTTGAAGATTGGCGGAGTGAGCTCTGGTTTGTCTGCTATGCCTGAACTGTGTGGCAACGGGCGGCACGGGCGGCAACGTGGTGAATCCTCGGCATACCCACACAGCGCACGAAGCGGCAACGACGCGGCAACGAGGCGGCAACGGGCGTCAACGAGCGACAACTGGACGAGACCTCGGCCAACCCGCACAGGCGGCAACCTGCGGCAACGGGAGGCAGTGTGGCAAATCCATGGCATATTCACAACGCGCGAGTCGGCATCAGGGCTGCAACGAGGCGGCAATAGGCGGAGACGGGCTGCGAAGTTGCGAATCACCGGCATACCCCCGCAGGCGGCAGCGGGCGACAACGCGCGGAATCCTCAGCATATTGGGGCGGCAACGACGCGGCAACGAGGCGGCAACGGGCGTCAACGAGGCGGCAACGGGTGGCAACGTGGCAAATCTTTGGCGTCCCCTCACAGGCGGCAGCGGGCTGCAACGGGCTGTAGTGTGACGAGTCCTCGGCATGCCCCCCTCGCGAGGCGGCAACGGGTGGCAACGTGGCGAATCCCCAGAACATCCCCACAGGCGGCCACGGGCCGCAATCCCGCGAAGAATTGCGAAGTGAAGCAGCACGTAAACACTCGTACGTACAAGCATTGTTTCCAGGGAGTAAATACATATAAACACTGTGTATGTATGTACCCATATATATATACACGTCAGAGTGAGATGTCACTCGCTGTCTCTGGGTGCATGGCTGAAGTGGGGTTCCGCGATGTGGATTGTTATTGAGTTCTCATTCTTAATGAATGACTATTGGTGGTGTCCCTCCTCCTGTAATCTTTCTATATATGTCAATTGGAGTGCCCCCGCTTGGGGAGCATGGTGTCACCAAACTGCGTTGTTGGCCCTCGAGCTACAAAAACAACGGCTCCCGCCTCATGTTTCCTCATATGTTGTTCCAGAATTGAGCTCCCGCAGGAATTGCGTCTCGCGTGCAACTTCCTTCGGATTTATTCAAACGACGCTTCCTCGACACTCAGGAATCACGCTCTCGCTTCGGCGTTTCTCACGATTTTCTTGGGAATCGCGCTATCGTTCGAGCTTTCCGCGCGATTCATGCAGTATCCACGCTTCAGCAACACGCCTTCTCGTCCTGGCCGCTTGGGCGCGCCTTCCCGACCCGCCCGTTAGGGTCTATCCGCCCGGAGTGCCCGTCTGGCTCTGCCACGTGTTTTCTTCTCACAGCCCCCTCCTGCGAATCCCGTGCTCCATCCTTCTCACTCCCCCGTCCATCCGTCTTATCTTCCCCTGTTCCAGGTGAAGTGGGCGGGTGCCGAGCGTTTGGGATTTACGTGCTAAATGACACGCGAGCAGGCAAGAGCAAACAGTCTTAACTTGATTGTGGTTGTTGCAGTTATTGATGATGGTGTTATTGCTGCTGTTGTGTTGTCGTTGTCGTTGATGTTGGTGTTGTTGTGAGTGTTATTGTTGTTGTTGTTGTAGTTGTTGTTTGTGTTGTTGTTGATGTTGTTGTTGTTATTGTTGCTGTTGTTGTTGTAGTTGGTGTTGTTGTTGTTGTTGTTGTTGTTGTTGTTGTTGTTGTTGTGTGCGTGTGGTGCTGTTGGTGGTGTTGTTGTGTTCGTTGTTGCTGCTGGTGTTGTTGCTGATGTTGCTGTTGTGTTTGTAGCGGCTGCTGTTGTTGAGCTCTCATTATTGAAGAATCATTATTGTTGATCCCCCCTCCGGTGAGAATTTTGTTTTTCCCATTGGAAATCTTCCCCCAGGGCTCGCACCCAGTTTTTTTTTTGTAAAAACCAAAGGAAGTCACTAGGCTCAAACTGGGCCCCTGGCCCATGGTTTACAACAACAGCGGTTCCCGCCTGCTACTTCCTCACAATGTATTCCCAAATCGCGCTCTCGCGCGGGACTT